ACTAAGAGACTACACATTCAATCCGTTTCACGCTAAGAGACTACACATTCAATCTGTTTCACACTCAGAGACTACACATTCAATCCGTTTCACGCTAAGAGACTACACATTCAATCCATTTCACACTCAGAGGCTACACATTCAATCCGTTTCACTCTAAGAGACTACACATTCAATCCGTTTCACACTAAGAGACTACACATTCAATCCGTTTCACGCTAAGAGACTACACATTCAATCTGTTTCACACTCAGAGACTACACATTCAATCCGTTTCACGCTAAGAGACTACACATTCAATCTGTTTCACACTCAGAGACTACACATTCAATCCGTTTCACACTAAGAGACTACACATTCAATCCATTTCACACTCAGAGGCTACACATTCAATCCATTTCACTCTAAGAGACTACACATTCAATCTGTTTCACACTCAGAGACTACACATTCAATCCGTTTCACGCTAAGAGACTACACATTCAATCCTTTTCACACTAAGTGGCTACACATTCAATCAGTTTCACTCTAAGAGACTCCACATTCAATCCGTTTCACTCTAAGAGACTACACATTCAATCCGTTTCACACTAAGAGACTACACATTCAATCCGTTTCACACCAAGAGACTACACATTCAATCCGTTTCACACTAAGAGACTACACATTCAATCCGTTTCACTCTAAGAGACTACACATTCAATCCGTTTCACTCTAAGAGACTACACATTCAATCCGTTTCACACTAAGAGACTACACATTCAATCCGTTTCACACTCAGAGACTACACATTCAATCCGTTTCACACTAAGAGACTACACATTCAATCCGTTTCACACTAAGAGACTACACATTCAATCCGTTTCACACTCAGAGACTACACATTCAATCCGTTTCACACTCAGAGACTACACATTCAATCCGTTTCACTCTAAGAGACTACACATTCAATCCGTTTCACACTCAGAGACTCCACATTCAATCCGTTTCACACTAAGAGACTACACATTCAATCCGTTTCACACTCAGAGACTACACATTCAATCCGTTTCACACTAAGAGACTACACATTCAATCGGTTACACACTCAGAGACTACACATTCAATCCGTTTCACACTCAGAGACTACACATTCAATCCGTTTCACACTCAGAGACTACACATTCAATCCGTTTCACACTAAGAGACTACACATTAAATCCGTTTCACACCAAGAGACTACACATTCAATCTGTTTCACACTCAGAGACTACACATTCAATCCGTTTCACACTAAGAGACTACACATTCAATCCGTTTCACATTAAGAGACTACACATTAAATCCGTTTTACTCTAAGAGACTACACATTCAATCTGTTTCACACTCAGAGACTACACATTAAATCCGTTTCACTCCAAGAGACTACACATTCAATCCGTTTCACATTAAGAGACTACACATTAAACCCGTTTCACTCCAAGAGACTACACATTAAATCCGTTTCACACTAAGAGACTACACATTCAATCCGTTTCACACTCAGAGACTACACATTCAATCCGTTTCACACTAAGAGACTACACATTCAATCCGTTTCACACTAAGAGACTACACATTCAATCCGTTTCACACTCAGAGACTCCACATTCAATCCGTTTCACACTAAGAGACTACACATTCAATCCGTTTCACTCTTACAGACTACACATTAAATCCGTTTCACACCAAGAGACTACCCATTCAATCCGTTTCACACCACCTTGAGCTGTTATGAAATGCGCTTTATATAAAGCTGTACTCGGTATTATGTTTGGATCGTCTATTGGCACGTAAGTCGGGAAGACACCATTGAACTACAACACTTTACTGCATGATGGGCTCTCATTCCAAATTCCAAACGCCACCGTTTGAAAAGTATCGGCGACGTAGATTGCCCAATGGAATAAGGTCGCGGCCGCTGCTCGCCACCGCACACGCGGAAAGCAGTTCCAGAAGAGAGGTCTCGTCCGCGACCGCCTTTCGCGTGGCCAAGTGGAGCGCATGACAGCCGAGTCTTGGCGCGTGACGAGTTGTCGTGCTGCGTGTTTTTTACGGGGCGAGGCGGCGCATGCAGAGTTCTTGATCGCAAGGCCACTGGCGGCCCCTGGTGGCCTTTAGTGCGGCCCCTGGTGCCCTTTAGTGCGGCCCCCGATAAGACACAAAGAGTGAAAACATCATCATCATCCTCGTGCTGATGTCAAACCCCCAATGGTGTCAAACGTGCGGCGGGCCTCACGTTGATGATGTCTTATCGGTGAAAGTGGCCCCCACCCCACCCCCACTCTTGACACTGCAATACAAACACTTGGGAGCGAATGGCGCAATTCAACCTGTCACATCAGAAGGATGAGAAGTGTACTTTACACCGAGGAGTTAAAGCCCATTGAGCTAAGAAGATGTTTGTCAGGGGCGACTCGGCAGGCAGACAACATCAAAGCGTTACGCAATTACAGATGTATAAACAAAAACAAGCTTAATAATAATACTACAATAATAACAATTATGATGTCGAATTGCATTCGCACGTGAACTGGAGTGATTTTTAATAATACTGTAGAGTCAGATTAAATGAGAGACAGAGAAGGCAGAACGGACAAGCCTGAAGACGAACCTATCGGTGGTGTTTCCAAATCGTCGAGGCTTTGAATACCTTTGGTCCAAAAAGTGTGCGCGAAATCGTGGAATTATCCATCGACAATTAAATTGTGCGGTGAAGCTGCTTTGCCGGTAGGTGCACAAGCACAATGAACAACAACACCACCACGTTTTGTTCACGTGCAGTAGCGGTCGTGACGGCAATGGGTCAGGTAGGGGCCCCAATGTTTGATTCGCCTTGCACGGTCGCCACCCTATGAGGCTTCGTCTATCGCGGCTTCTCTTGCCTAATGACATCACGGCAACGCTCACGGTCTCGAACATTTAACGCTGTAGGGGGCTCTCGGTCTTAGCGAAATGTAGCCGCCGCGACTCCGTGCTACTCCTTTGCGATATTACGTTCACCGCACTGATTCGATTGGAACAAACTTTCTCGCTCCACATTGAGCCGTCACATTCGCTCGCTAGTTTCCGCTCCGCACGTACTCACGATGCACTCATTGTTCCCTAGCTCACGCCACGACATCTTCAACTCCCCATCATAACCGTCACGGCTACTGTTCCCCATTCATCTTCTCGTTATATAGCTATCGCTCATTAACCCCACTCATTCAAACCGTTCATCATCATCATTAACCGTCATCGGTTTCGCTTTCACCGAATTTTCGCATCGTCAAAGTTCCGCCCCCCCATTGCTTCCTCTCATCTGTTTCATTCACCGCATCTTCACCATTATACATCCATAACGTACCGTTGTTAATTTTGTGTAAAGTGTCTTGGATATATAAATCATTTCAAGATAAGAGAGCACTTTAATAAAAAAATATATATACAAATCATGTAAGCCGAGTTTTTAATCAGTTTTTGTTCTTTTACACTGTTGTTGAAAACAAATCTCATGACGGTTTTCAAGGGGGGGCCCAACGCGTGGTTTTTGCCACCAGGGATTGGGGGGAGGGGGGCGGGCAAGGCACCCCCCCCCCCGCCCCTCGCTAGCTACCGCTACTGGCCACGTGACCATCGTGTCGGGTGGAGGTGGGTTCACGACGCATTTACATTTCCCCAAATCCAACACCGTCAGAGCAACTGCGTTATTACGAAGAGCAGAGCTCCTGTTAACGAATGCGGCAGGGACGTTGTGTGTTTACCTGTGCGGGCGCTACAGGTGCTTCCATTCTCAAGGGGGCCGGTGCCAATTCGTCACGAGCTTAGAGGGCAGCGGAGGTTGTTGGGGAGCCGTGGGTTGACCCATGATCGTATTGAGTGGTTTTATGACCTCTCTCTCTACCTCCTCAACATCAATGCCTATCCAATAGCGTGTGCTCTTTCTCTCTCGCGCCCTCATCACCCCCACACTCACCACCAATCATCTTTCATTTCCATCCGTGTGTTCGAGTATTTGTCTTTGCATCTAAGTGCCTATATATGTGACTGTGTATGCATGTATATGTAACTGTGTATGTATGTGACTTGTGCTGTCTGTGTGACTGTGTCTAAGTCACTGTGTATCTATGTGACTTGTGTCGTCTATGTTACTGTGTGTCTATGTGTCTATGTGACTGTGTGTCTGTGTGTCTATGTGTCTATGTGACTGCGTGTCTATGTGCCTTTGTGACTGAGTGTCCGTGGCCAAACATTTCCAAGCGGCACCCTCCTGAAATTCAGGTTCTGGGTCTCATTTCGTTCAATGGAAAATGTCTGACCTGAGGTCCAGATCAATCGGGTAACCTCATCGGGCGTCAGGTGAGTGAGTGGTGTTCGCCTTGCAAATCGCACTCGAGTGTGGAGACAGGGGACGGTGATGAGTCCCAGCGTGTAGCAGCACAGGGAATGGAGAGAGAGAGGCGACTATAAATTATAGATCACAGCAGTGGCGATCTTGTCTCACCCAAAATCACACCTCTCAAAGCATTTCATATCTCCCCCCCCGCCTCTCTTTTTTTTACGATCAGTGGAAACAAGAAGATGCTCGATGTAGTCGGCACTTTGCTTCGTTCATCATTTCGTAATTTTTTTATTTCCCTTATTTCCCCTTTCCTCCTCCTCCCCTCTCTTTTTTTATTTTTATTTTTTTATTTCTCTCTCTCCATATTCACGCATCGATTCTCTAATCACCACCCGAGCGCTCTCTCCACTCACGCATCTCGCATCACACTCAAAAACACTCCGCTCTCGCTACCTCTACACTCACACCCCCTCTCACCACGAAATCCCGTCTCGCTCTCTCTCTCCACTCACGCCTCCCTCTCTACAAATGCACTCCCCTCTCTCTACACTCACGTCTCTCTCCCTCCCCATGCACCCCGCTCGCTTGATTTCTCTCGCTCTCTCCGCTCACGACTGCCTCTCTCCCCATGTACCCTGCTCTCTCGCTCTCTCGCGTTCTCTCTCTCGCCCCCCCCCCTCTCTCGCTCTCTTCACTCACGCCTCCCTCCCTAACTGCGTTTGTCTTCAATCCGAATCGGGCCGCCAGTCTCACGGTTGTGTGCATGCGTGTTCCCGTTTCAGAACATGACGGTGGAGATGGGCTGCTTCAGGTACTGTAAAGAAATCGCCATCGTCATGATCAACGGCATCATCATCACCATCATCATCAGCAGCATCGGCATCGGCAGCATTAGGACCATTCTGAGCTTCGGCATTCGTACCCGTAGGATCATCGTCAACAGCAACAGCAGCATTATTATTAGTGGGATCATCGTTCTCATTCGCAGCATTCGTATTGGTTTTAGCAGGATCATCAACAAACAGTAGTATTAATACTAATATGATTAGCATAATCAACCGCAGCAAAAGAAGTAGTATTGGCAGTATCAGCAGCAGCATCAGCCGCATCGGTAATAGTAATAGTCGGGTAATCAGCAGCAGCAACGATCGCATGAGTAAAAGTAGAATCATCATCAGCAGCAGCAGCAGCGCATTATATTAATTAGCAGCAGCAATGACACCAGTAGTAGAATCATCAGCAGCAGTTGTAGCGGAAACATCAGCATCATCAATTATCATCACCACCAACAGCAGCAGCAACGACTTTAGTATTACACACATTTTCACTGTCATCATCATCAACTGCTGCATTATCAGGATCATCATCATCAACAACATTCTTCCATCATTTACAACAAATATCTATCTGGTTTTCAAATAATCAGACGTTAGTTTTGAGCATCGATGTCAGCTCTCTTCGCTGACCGAGTGGATAAGCATCAGCTGAGTATCAATGCCACTTGCTGCAATGTTAGCCGTCACTCATCGATACGATATCGCTGTCAGCCTTGAGATATCAGCATGAACAGCTGTCCTGCATTGCTCATGCTCTCTGTTAATTCCCCGGTCTACGTGAGGTATGGTGTGTGTATATGTGTGCAGTATATACTTTGATATAGAATGGCAGTGGTTCTTCTTCTTAACCTGGGGTGCACGCTGCACCCCCTGGGGGAGCGAGATGTCCTTTCTGGCGGTGCGAGACACGGCCAGATATATATTTTTAGAAGGTAAATCATCGAAAAACAAATTAAGCACGCGCACGTAAGTAAAACTGCTTTGTTGTTTCATCAAACCCTGTGTATTTATTAATACTTTACTTTTTTTACGATTCAGAACCTAAGGGTGGGGGGGTGCGAGGCTGCAGTAAATGTTAAGAATCACTGCAGTATAGCATAATGAACAATGCAACGTGTGTATAAACACATTGATGATCAATTGTGCGTAAGACGACGTCCCCCGAGGAGACGGAGCGATGAAATAAGTTCACGTTGCAGGTGCTGGGTGGATTGTTACAATGCGTCGCGGGATCGTGGGAGGTCATAATCGCGCCTTAGGGAGGCAGTCATCCAGCAGTGGATAATTATGGTGGTGATGGAAAAATGTTTGTCCAATGTTATGAACATACAGGACAACAAAAACGCACGGAATGTCCCCAGACCTCGTCGGATCTCGGAAGATAATCAGAGTCGAGTCTCGTCTGTTGCTTGGATGGGTGATTGCCTGCGCATGCCAGGTGCTGTAGGTTCAGGGCTGCTCGTGGCCAGGAGGTAGCAGTGGAGCTATTGGTTCGGTCCACAGATTTGGTCAACACTGGACTGAGAGGCTGCGGATTGGAGCTGTCTGTGCCGAGGTTTGAGTTGTTATACCTCCTCGGATGTGCTGAGGGTTCTCCGGATACTCTGGCTTGCTTTGACAAAGAAAACAACTTAGTTTAACACGTGGCAGGCTTTAGCGACCAATATTATTCCTAATAGGTTTTTGGGTGAGATCACGTAAGTATACATGTGTCGTAACCCTCCACCACCCGACACAACCAGTAAGGTTTGTCACGTACACAACGCGTCAATTAGTTACTACTTCCGCCCACCGGTGTGTTGGAGAGTAAATCCACAACATTTACAATCTGAGTACGACGTTTCGCTGGCAATTACATTCAGCATAATCGGGAAATCGCCCGATGATGCTGGATGTAGTTGTAAATGTTGTGGATTTACTCTCCAACACACCGGTGGGCTGAAGTAGTAACTAATTGGCGCGTTGTGTACGTGACAAATCTTACTGGCTGTGTCGGGTGGTGGAGGGTTACGACACATTCATACTTACGCGATCTCACCCAAAAAACTCTATTACTAACAACTCAATGAGTGGAGTTTTTTTTGCCAAACATTCCGATGTGGCAGGACCCTCCTGAAAAGGAGTCTTGAGACTCAGTGAGGTTTACCCGGATAAATACTGGACATCTGTGAAGACGAGCTTAATCGGTCATCGGATTCCTTCAGGGTAAATACATATTCTGATTCTGAAATACCATGAATTCATGATTGGTTATACTCTCCTGTCGTTTGATCAGATCAGAACCGATCCAGAGATTGAAATTCTACATTCCCATGCCTCGGGTTACTCTCCTTATCACAGCCAATCCTCATCACAACCAGGCCCCACAAGATGCGTGATATTTTTTAGTTACCACAGCGTGCATGATCAGTGGATAAGATTAGATCTTGATCTTCACTGTAATACCCCGCGTGAAAACGCAACAGTACGGTAACGATTAATAATTACAATAACCATTACATTTGGTATTCGCACCACTCTGATAGGGCGAGGCTATCGCAAGTGGCGCTGCATTTCACAGATGGCTCTGGTCTTCCAGTAGGGGACGGTGTCACTTTGTGTCGTCCCATTTGAGTAATTGGCGGCGTAATTTTTTTTAATCAATATTTGGTAAAAAAAAAAATGTTGGACCACGACGCCGGCACGCAATGACGTCGGGGGATCTTTAGACATCCACCGTGTAGCGGACGGCGCGTGATATTTGTGCGGTCAATAGACACTCGCAGTTATAACCAGAGTGGCCCGGCTGATTCGAACCACGAACCCCTGCAGCAAGGGGCCGGAACGCACTACCGCTGAGCCACGTCTCAGCATTTGCATGTAGCTAAACTGCTGGGATAAGTGGCTTTTCGAATATAAATTGAGTTGGAAAAATTCTATATTAATGATACTAATTTGGCTCAATTGTAGTGCAGCCTGCACTTCAGAAAAAAACAGTCGAGGTGAGTGGATGTCTGATTTTAGCAATGGGGATGCAATTTGGCAATTTTCTTCTGGTAAAAAGCCCTTCCCCATGCTGTGTTTGTCAGCGGGGTTGATTGACCATACTTCACCACGCTGCTCAGTTTGGGTTAGTGAATGAGGGAGGGGGGATTGGTGGGTGGGGGGGTCACAAAAACGGTTCAGATGTCACTTGCCACTGATGTGAGCCGTGGCCGGGAATCAAACTTAATTTGAATGAACGACTGCATCACCCACCGCTCTACCCCTTAGGGTAGAAAAAAAACAATCCTAATTTTTAAAAAGTTGCATTCATTTATTAATCAAGTAAAGGCTCGCTCAATCTCAAGACTCCTGATAACAGGGTCCTGACTTGACACCATTTTTTTCTACAATATGAGTATAACCCTCGCTATGCGGTGCAAGAGGTAACACTCCGCACAGATAGATTCAAGAATGCACTGCTGGACCCGCCGTCGTTTGGCCCTCCCTCGAAGCTGTTCTACCTGCAGCACGTGTCGAGCTCTGGTGGGCATCCATACAAAGACAAAGATCCCACGTATAGCCTCTCCAGGCTGTTGGGGCAAGTGCTGTTAGCATGCACTTATTGAGACCGGCACGGCGCACGAACCCATTGTATGGGTCGCCCATACAAGGGTACGAACCACGGTCAACTCTGTTTACCAGCCACGCTCGGCTCTGATGAGGTCCGGGTGTTTTTTCTAGGGTCATTTGGTTGCATGAAAATCTTCCTGATGATAACTAATTATTTAGTGATGATGATGACGGCGACGATGCTGCTGCTGCTGAGTTGGCGGTGGTGCACGAGCACAATTAACAACAACAAGTGGACACGTTCGTCAATATCACTGTAGCCTTAAAAATAAACAAAAAAATATATAACAGAGAGGCCACGTTTGGGGCAATGGCCCTTCTTTACAGACCATAGCGAGGCGGTGAAGTGGGGCCATTTGCAGTGCATTGAAGACCCATTGCCCAAAACGTCGCCTATTATATAACGGATTCGTTTTAAGGCCACAGCGTTATTGACTTACATGTTTAGTTTTATATATATACTGTACACTATGTTCTTTCACACCATTATATTTCCCCCTCATTTCACTCATCCAGACCGGGACATACATACACAGGTAAAGGTCCCCCGTATGGCCTTAACATACTTTTGACGGAAGTGCAGTTAGCAATCACCTTGGAAGGCCGGAACGGTGCACAAGAGGGTGGGTGGCCAGCACTACGCCCGGCCGCCTTTGTCTCCCGAGTGGCGATGTTTACACACCGCAGCAGGTACTCATTTGAGGCTGAGTCGCCCTAGGGGAGACCCGGGACCGGTTCAGATAATCGTTACTGGTGTTGGTGGCTGTGAGCAGGAATCAAACTCGGGTCGCTGGGTTTGTAGTGGAGCGTTCTAGCCACTGCGCTGCCGCTCCCCACATAAACACACAAAAACACAAACACATACATGGACACACGCTTATTATATATGGGAGTGTGTGCGCGTGTAAGAAATGAGTGGGGAGCCGTGGCGCAATTGTTAGCGCACTGCGCTACGAACCCGGCGACCCGACTTCCATTCCCGGACACGATCAATTACAGTGGAGAATATTTGAACCGGTCCACGGCCTCTCCTAGGTCGATTCAGCCTCAAACGAGTGGCCGGTGCGGTGTGTAAACATCGCCACTCGGGAGAAAAGGCGGCTAGCCAATAACCCACCCCCTCGTGTGGCGTTCCGGCCTCCATAGATGCTCGCTAACAGCACTTGCCCCAACAGTCTGTTAAGGCTATACGGGGGAGGGGAGGTCATTGTCTTTGTATTAAATGACTGCATTCATTTGGGACTGTGCATGAGAATGGAAGGCAAGTGTGTGGACTTGATTATTATTCTTTATTCCTCCTATTTTTAATCTCGAAACACAATGTACCGCGCGCGTGCGCGCTTAACGGGGACACCCACACACACGGAACATAAATAAATGATCCCGAAACTCAGACCAATCGCGGAACGGGCTGGAGGGGTAGGGAAGGGTGGTAAGCTACTCTGGTGTCCCCAAACCTGACCCCCATAAAAAGGACCCGGTCAGGAATTCTTCGTGTGTGTGTCGTCGGTCCGATGTAACCATCCAGTCAACCCCGAGCAACACAGAGTCTTCCCAACTCACCTCGTTGTTCCCAACTCACCTTGTTGTGCACGAACCTTATGTAACAACCTAGGTTAATTATTGAGGATTTTTAGATCGAGCAAATTGTGTATGAAATGGGTTTGGCTGTGTGTGGGGAGTAGTGGGGGGGGTCATGGAATTCGCAGAGGGATTGGGTCTCCTGTGTTAGAATCAGCACCGTTTGTGGCGATAGTTGAAGGTCAGTGGGAGGTGGGTGGGGGGGTGTGGGGGGAGGGAAATTGCTGTTAAACAGAACCAATGGAATGTGTGAGTTCCTTGGTGTGCGGGGACTTGGTGGCCTAGTCGTGGTGTGTGTGTCAACCTGCCGCTCACGGTAGCGGCTATGCCCTCAAGCAAATGAGTGTTCCATTCTTGGCCGTGACGCACACGACCATCGCTGTCATCACTACAGAGGCCTGGGCTTCCCCTAGGTTCGCTCAGCTTAAAATCTACAGTTTGTGTAAATGTGATTGAGATGCGGGTTTTAACGACACATTTTAATATTTACGCGATCTAACCCAAAGACCTCTATTCTGGATGAGTTGTTGACTTTGGGGGGAGAATATTCGCCCTTTTGTTTGCGTTATAAACCGTGGCGACCAGAGTACGATTCCTGACCACGGCTATCAGTGACAAGTTGTATTTGGTTGGACCGGTCCTGGCTCTCCCCTACCACAATTCAGCATTAAATTCGTACCTACTGTCGTGTCTGAATATATCAGCATTGGAGATATACAGGTGGCTGGGCGTGGTGTTGTCCACACCCCCGTGCCAGCCTTCATGTGTGCTCACTAAGAGCACTTGTCCCAATAGTCTCAAAGGCTGAGCATGGGATCGTTGTCTTTTGCGTGTGCGTGTATGTGCACATGTATGTTATGCACACGTGCTTATGACCGGCTCCAGTTTAACAGCAGAGGTCTCACTCCGAATCAGTCGAGCGGCAATATCTTTTCATCGGTTGCGTAACGCTGTGTGGAAGCTACCTGGTCTGTCGCTCCGCACGAAGCTTCAGGTCTTCTCGGCCACAGTCATTCCCTCCCTTATCTACGCTTGCGAAACGTGGACCCCCCTAATGAAGCATCTTCGCCGGTTGTAAACATTTAGGCTGGCCTGCCTACGATCCATCCTGGGTTTAACCAGGCTGGATTGTGTGAGGAGCTCACAAATCCTTGAAAGATATGGGCAAAGTCCCATCGGTGAGCTCCTCCGGCAAGCAAGGCTGCGTTGGCTAGGTCATGTAGCCCGCATGCCCAGCCACCGCATGCCTAAACAGCTTTTGTTCGGCCGGATCGAGGGGGCTAAACGGGCGCGGCACGGGCTAGAGAAGAGATGGAGTGATGTGGTACAGGAGGACGTGGAGCTGAGTGGACTTGCCGATGACCGGTACCAGCGGTGTCAAGATCGGCCTCTGTAGATAGAAGATACTCGTGAAGGACGCTACTGGGCAGTTGGAGGCAGTCGCCCTCCAACAACAACGGAGGGCGGAGGAGCGACTCACAACAACGAGCGGAGCGCCGGGTGGCTAAAGCACAGCAAGTTGGCACAGTAGGGGGCACAGGTGGTGCATCAGCCAGTCATCTCGGTCATCTCGTTCAGTCGACCCGTGGCACCTGGGTCTGCCCCGTGACCTCCTGCCAGCGGGCGTTCGACACTTCACGTGGCCTCAAGGTGCACATGGCCTGGCACAAGCGTCGTGGTGACGTCACCGCCACTTAGTGGCGAATGGCGGTTGTTGTTGTTATGCACACGTGTGTGTGTGTGGAGAGCTGTAGTGTAGCGGTTAGCGTACACTGCTACGGATCCGGTGACCAAGGCCACTCACAGCCAACACCACTGACGATTATCTGAACCAGTTCTTGGCCTCATCCTAGGTCAACTCAGTCTCAAATTAGTGCCTGGTGCGATGCGTTAACATCGCCACTGGGGAGACAAAGGCGGCCGGGCGTGACGCTGGCCGCCTAGTGCACCGCTTTCGGCTTGATTTGCTAACAGCACTTGCCTCAAGAGTATGTCAAGGCTATACGGGGGATCTTTGTCTTTATATGTATGCACGTGTCCCGCTCTAGATGCGTGCAATGGGGGGTACAATACAAAGGTGTGAAAGTACATGCACTCGGGAGACAAAGGCAGGATGGTGTTGGCCACCCACTTCCTCGCGTGCCATGCTGGCCGACATCGGTGCTCGCTAACAGAACTTGCCCCAAAAGTCTGTTAAAGTTGAACGGGGGGTGGGGGGAGATCTTTGTCTTTGAAGATACGTTCATGTGTTTGTTTTTTTCCATTGCAGGTCTCTGCGGGACCTGGAGCTGCGTCTATTGACGGCGACGAACGAGCTGGAGAAGGAGCGAGAGCAGCGGCAGGAGCTGGAGACTCGACTCCAGTACTTAGGTGAATCCATCTAACTGCCAATCCATCCATCAAACCATTCATCCAACGACGAGCTCATTTACCCATCTATCAGCTAACTCATCCACCCCTCTATCCATCGTATCTATCATTCATCCGTCTGCCAAACCATCGATGAACTGCGTTGGATTTCACGTGCGTGTTGCATAAGCTCTCTGAGGAAGCTCCCAGATTCTGTTTCCTAGCCTTGCATTCACGAAGAGGCTGCAAGGACGTGTTGGAGCGAAACGTCGGACATGTTGCCGTACAACGACGAAAGTATATGAGAGAGCCGAACCATCCATCCATCGATCCATCGATCCAATTACCTTACCATCATCTTCCCACGCACTCAATCCGATTGTTTTTTTTGCCATTCCATTAGCACCGCGGATTAATTAAAACCGAATTTAAACCACGACACATCTACACACTCACTGCACACACCCACACACACACTGCACACACACCCACACACACGCTATATATTGTTTTCTGTGCTGTAGAACAACAGCTCGAGAAGAAGGAGGCTGAGGTGGCGCAATTAAAGAGCGAGCGGTCACTGGAGGCAGCAGGTCTGTGCGTGTGTTTGCATATTCATGTTTTGCATGTATGTGTACGTATGGGGAGCGGTGGTGCAGTGGTTAGCGTGCTGCGCGACAGACCCGGCGACCCGAGATCGACTCCCGCTTTTCGACCAACACCAATGACGATCATCCGAACCGGTCCTGGGCCTCCCCTAGGTCGACTCAGTCTCAAACGAGTACCTGGTGCGTTGTGTAAAACGTCGCCACTGGGGAGACAAAGGCGGCCGGGCGTGGCGCTGACCACCCATCGCCTCTCGTGGCGTACCGGCCTTCGTAGGTTCTTGCTCGCAGCGCTTGCCTCAAAAGTCTGCCAAGGCTATACGGTGGTGGTGGTGAGTGAGTGGGTGGGGTTCTTTGTCTTTTGCGTCTCAGCGAGGAAATCGTGCGAGGTGGCCGGGTGTGACCGAGGTGGTCACGGCCGTCCCATCATGCGCGAGCCGCTGCCCGACAGCTGCTTCCTCCTCGCCAAGCGCGTGCCCAAGTCGACCAGGTGCTCCGCACCACACACCGTGTGGCCAGAGCCGGCCCAGCCACTAAGCGACCCTTGCAATTGCAAAGGGCCCCGTGGCCAGCAGAGGGCCCCCTAGAGTCACTGCTAGCTAGTGGGTGAAAAAAATCATACATCAAAGGGGCCTCCAACCAAATTTTGCTTAGGGCCCCCAAAGGTCTAGGGCCGGTTCTGCGTGGGGCTTTCCGGAAACACGTCCCCACGTAGACAATCCCCGCGCCCCAACGACCCAACCACCACACGGAAGGACGCAAACCCGCAATGGGTGCCGTTTAAATCCACATCATTCATCCGCGGCTGTGTCGACGAACTGGTGAAAGCCTGATAATTGTTTTTTTACCCTTCTATCTGGCAACAAAACTGACACCTTTTTTTTTTACAAGGAGTCATGTTTGCATAGACCACAATACCTGCAGCCATAATCCATAATGGACCAATCAACTGCAAGGACAGTGCATATATTATCAGAGTTATGTGTTTTGTTTGCATTATGGCTGCAGGTATTGTGGTCTATGCAAACATGACTCCTTGTAAAAAAAAAGGTGTCAGTTTTGTTGCCAGATAGAAGGGTACAAAAACCAATGATCATATTTTTTACTGGTAAATGAGGTTCCAATGGTGAAAGCCTCTCAAATAAATAAAGAAATCATCGACGTCGTTTCTCATCTGAAATCACGAGTGCCTTTTTTAGACGGAGCGCTGCCATTTAGGCATTGAAGCTGTCTGGCACGTGCCCGACCTCTATTGGCTTAACATAGCCGGCTGCCACAATGCATTTGCGTGTCGTGATGTAGCCGCAGCTCCGTTAATTTTGAATTTTCCTGTGAGTCAAGCAGCTCTTAAATCGGGTTTAATCAATAAAGAACAACACCACCGCTTCTCCGACAAACGCAACACGTCGCTGTAAAATAAATGAATCATAAATAATAACAGATAAGCGAATGAAAAAAAGATATAGCAAATCATAATCGCAATATAAAAATATATTTCATTATTTTTTTTACTTAATTATAGATTATTAGAAAATAGCACGCTTTTCTCAGAAAAGGGTTGTAAGTTCACGCTGAGGAGAGGGGACGAGGCGCCTCGGCCCCCCATGTGGTGACGTCAGCCGCTAATTATATTGAAAGGTTTCTGGGGGCGTGGTGTCCATTTGGAGGACGTCACCTGCTCATGCATATTAATAAGGGGGGCTGGTCGATGTGGATTGACGTCACGAGCGTTAAGAACAGACATTCCTAGGTGATTATAGAAGGTATTGGCATCTGGGCACGAATTCACATGAAAGTAGCCGTGATTTAAATTGAGTCATCGACGACAATGACTGCAGACCACGTTCCGTGCCAATATTGTTCCACAGACGTTCATTTACTCCGTGCTTTCCCCCGTTAATTTGTAACGGAATTCTCTTAAGTTAGATGCGGCAGCTTTTTCAAAAAGATTAAAAAAAAACATTCTGGGGAACAGCTCCTACCCGTGATCAAGTACGAATGCCGCTAACATTGCAAAGGAATTTCTCCGCGACCCTGACCCCTGACCTTGACCTCGATCTTGCCCCCGTGACCCCGAGCAGCACGGCACACCTGGTGGAGCAAGCTGTTCGCAGTAACGAGCTGCTCAAGCGCATGCAGCCCGGGCAGACGGTGCTGCTGGGAGACTGCATGTCCGAGACGACGCGGGCACGCGGAGAGACGATCATAGAGGAGGGAGATAGTGGCGAGAGCATGTACATCCTCATGAGTATGTATGTTGAATTTCGTTCGCGCCCTACGTAGCCAATTGTGCTAATTAGAAGTGCGTGGCGGAGCCGCGGATACTCTCCTGGCCTCTCTCGCCGTGTCGTCTCACCATATCTCCTCCACGTGCCACACGCTGTGTCGATCTTTGTGTGTAGCGTGTTTGTACGTGCGTGTCTCTGTGTTTATCTTTGTCTGTATCGAGAGTAGTAATACGAATAATCAGAAAAAAAACGTGGTTTGTAACTCGCGCACATCTCGCAAATTGGACCCCAGAACTCGGAGGCGTCGAACCAGAGCTGAATGTCCCTCGTACCCGAGACTGGACTAGGTGAGGACCTGAACAAGTGAAGCCCTGAACAGGTGAAACCCTGAACAGGTGAAACCCTGAACAAGTGAAACCCTGAACAGGTGAAAGCCTGAACAGGCGATATCCTAAACAGGTGTGACCCTGAACAGATCAGAGCTTGAGCAGGTGAGAGAGCCTGATCAGGTGAGAATAAGCAGGTGATGAACCTTGAGCCGTCGCTTGAAGGTGGACGGACGGTGTTTGCATGCTGCTGCTGCTGCTACGGGTGTGTGTGCAGCGCGAGAGACTTCCAGATGGCTGCTGGCGCAGCTATGGGAAACAAAACAAAAAAAATACGCAGCTCAGCCAGGGGCGGTGTTGGGTCTGGGTACCACGAGCAGATTGTTGGGCGTTCTTCGCAGCACGTGGCGGTGTGCCGTGGTCAACGGAGTGAGAAGGGTGGATGGAGGGACCTTGAGAGAGGGCTCGGTGGAACACGATAGCGATCTTTTCACTGTATGCTTGATTTGACGGGGAGCCAGTGCAAGGTTTTTAGTGCGGCATGGGAAGCCACGTGGCTGTTCTTAATGTCCAGTAAACGTGAGTCTCTCTGTTAATGTCTACGTAAGGATTATTTGTCTGTCTCCGTATCTGTTACGATATGTATTGTACATATATATGCATGGTGTGTTTTTTGTGCAGTCAATAGGGCACTGTGCCACGAACCCAGCTATCTCAGTTCGATTCCAGCTCACTTCCAACATTGGTGACGTCTATCTAAACCCATCCTGAGCTTCCCCTAGGACCACTCAGCCTTTAATGAGCACATGCTGCAAGTGTGTTAACATCAGCACTGGGGAGACAAATGCAGCTGGCCGTGGGTGTTGGCCACCCTACCCCTTCATGCGTCGTGCCGGCTTTCGTAGGTGCACACTAACGGGCCAGCACTTGCGCCCATAACAGGTCTGTCGAAGGCTACACGGGGGATCTTTGTCTTTGCGTAGAGGGCCTGCTGGACGTGTCCAAGCAGGGCAAGTCGCTCTGCACGTTGCAGCCCGGCGCTCTGTTCGGGGAACTCGCCATCCTCTACGACTGCACCCGCACGGCCACCGTCAGGGGTAAGCGGCGGTCTCGCAGGGCCGTGCCACGCCGGGTGCGGTGCAGTGCGAAGTGCCGTGCAGTGTATTGTGTGGTGCAGTGCTGAGTGGCGTGCAGTGTGGTGTAGTGCGGTGGAGTGCTGAGTGGCGTGCAGTGTGGTGTAGTGCGGTGGAGTGCGGAGTGTGGTGCAGTGTGGTGCAGTGTGGTGTAGTGTGGTGCAGTGTGGTGTAGTGTGGTGCAGTGTGGTGTAGTGTGGTGCAGTGTGGTGTAGTGTGGTGTAGTGTGGTGTAGTGCGGTGTGCAGTGCACAATGTGGTGCAGTGTAGTGTGGTGCAGTGCTGGGTGGCGTGCAGTGTGGTGTAGTGTGGTGCAGTGCGGAGTGTTGTGCAGTGCGGTGCAGTGCGGAGTGGTGTGCAGTGTGGTGTAGTGTTGTGCAGTGCGGAGTGGGGTGCAGTGCGGAGTGTGGTGGAGTGCAGTGGTGTGATATGACATCCGTGCCTCTACGCCACCCCCCCCTGCCCCCGCCCCCCCGTCTCAGCGCTCACGGACGTGCGGCTGCTCTACCTGAGCCGCCACGCGTTCCGCTCCGTACTCATGCGCGAGTCGCAGTTACGGAGGAAGCTCATCATCAAGTTCCTCAAGACGTGAGTTCCCCGGCCACCAGCCCTGTGTGGAGGAGCTGTAGCCCAGGGGATAGGACACCAGGTGACAGATGAACATGTAAAATCAAATCCCCGCTTTTGTATTCATAGAAGAAAAGAATCCGCTGCGGTGTCTCTCCGCCGCGCAGTGCCATTTTTAGCACGAGCCCTCTATGCGCGCTGCATCTTTAATGCTCGACAGAGTTCGTGTTAACACAAAATAAGACGTTGAAATTAAGCCGCTTGCTCTTACCCTACCAGTTCGCGTGGATCGTTAGTGGCCATGGATAACGTCGGTGGCATGTATGTGCCTGTTTTGGGCCTCCCCTAGGTCGACTCAGCCTAAAATGCGTACTTGTTGCAGTGTGCAAAACATCAGCACTGGGGAGACAAAGGCCGCCGGGTGTGGTAGCTGGCCACACCACCCCTTGTACCTCCTTGTGCACTGATTGGACTGGCCTTTACATGTGCTCGCTAACAGCTCTTGCCATATCAGTCTGTATAGGCTATGCGGGAGATCTTTATGTGTGTACAGTTTGTGTGTATTTATTTACGTGGATTAGGTGCATGTGTATCTGTTCTGCCCCCCCCCCAAGGTAGACTCAGCCTTAAATTAATTAACATCGCCACTAGAGAGACAAAGGTGACCGGGCATTGGGCTGGCCACCCACCCCCTCATGTGCCGTGGCGGCCTTTGTAGGTGCTCGCTAACAGCACTTGCCCCAACAGCCTGTTAAGGCTATATGGGGGGATGTTTGTCTTTGAATGTGTGTGTGTGTGTTTTCCTTTGCCTAGCGCAAAGACCCTGAAAAACCTTCCAGATGAACAACTTTCCAAAATGTTTGATTGCATGGAGGAGGTGAGATTATTTGCTGCCACAATCAGAAGCTACTGTGCTCTAATAAAAAAAAAAAACAACGTACGACATTTTTAACAACACACATTGTTATACGTCCAACATGCAGTTTCCTGCCACGTGCTGTGGTGGTCATTGCAGATGTTGTGACAGTCTGTAGGGTGCTTCAAAAAAATGTTAACAATTACATGGAACTATCGTTTATAATGGAAAAAAGAACTGATAATTCTACACTGTAACATGATAACAATTGTAATTTTAATTGCTTCAAAAAGTCAAAGAGTCTCCACTTGTTCGCCATCGTTGTCAACACGTGGCCTGGAATCTTCTCCAGGTGGTCTCCTGAGCCCGGAGGTACATTACTCGTGGTATTGTTGCAAATTGAAGCACACTGCATAACAGCAATTTTTGTCGGTGTTCTGATATTTGTATTCGAACATCGAGTTGGTGAATCACCGCACAAACGTCACAAGAATCCATTCCTGTGGGCGTCGAGGAGGTTGCCGTACCCTGGCTCGCTAGGAAAAGGCGCGGTACAGCAAAAGTGTGGACTCACACCATCTGTCCCTTCTGTACGGGATCGAGCGTTGCCCCTTCGCACACGTGGGTTTTCTCCAGTTTTCTCCCACGTGTATAAACATGCGTTAAGTTGATAAAAACGTATTGATATATAAAGGTCTGTAGAGCTTGGGTAATGGTTGCTATAGCCGGATCACTGCCTTGTTGCTACCTTACGGATTGTCCTTAATTCCTCCGCGATTGTGGGAGATGGTAATTTGCAAGAATAATTCTGTATAAAACCACACGCTATTATTATAGCATAGTCTTGTCACGTTGGTATATAGTGCAATTAATCATAATGCCCTTGAGTTATCCACAAAAGCCTAATTTATTTGAGATTTTTTTTCCTGGAGGGTCCTGCATTGTGATGTTTGCCCAATTCCAATGATGTGCGTTTGGCTTCACGTGGGAGAAAACCTGAGTGCCCGGTTAGGACTTTAAACATGAGCGTGAGGGAGACAAAGACGGTCGGGCGTGGTGCTAACCGGACAACCCCACTCGTGCGCAAGCTTCAATAGAAGCTCCGCTAACATCACGCAAAGTTCCTCACGGACAGATTCACGAATCCATTGTCACGTGCTGGATACCTCACAGTGCAGGCCTCCAAACACCTGGCTATTCCCAGGCAGACCCCTAGGACACAGCTCTTCCACACAGCTTGGAATCAGCATATGTATTCATACTGGAGGAATCCGATGAGTTGTGAAGCTCTTTTTCAAATATGTCCAGTGAGGGCGGGTCAGAACGTTACAACAACAAACAACACGAAAGGACGACAGGAGGGCAAAGTGTGTATAGAAATAAAACTAGACTTGTTTTTATCTTGGCAGGTAAAGCCCACTGGGCTATCAGCTTCTTGTTTCAGAAGCCACCGGCCACAAATGATAGCTCGACGAAGTGGGCTGATTGTGTGGAAATTTAGAGCAGCAAAATAATCTATAAATATATACTCAGCCTGCCCTCGGCTGCAGCTCCTCCACACGCTGCTGGTGACCGGGGAACTCACAACACTGGGCGCGTTCAGTGCGATTCAGTTGCGGGTGAGTGTTTTTTTCTAAATTCGCGGCCGTCATGAGGCGGGGGCAGAGAGAGGCCACGGGGTTGGAGGGTTGAAGGTTCGACCCCCGTCGACGCTTGTTCTGTTCTGTCGGGCAGAGTGCGTTCGCGGACGGGGAGGCCATTGTGAACGAGGGCGAGGTGGGACACATCTTCTACGTCATCTTGCGTGGACAGGTGACTTGTGACCAGGGGGCACGGGGGGGTGGGTGCGAGGTGTGAGTGTGTTTGTCATGTCTTTGGGGTCCGTGTGTGTGTGGAGGGTACGTGTGTGTGTGTCTGGGTCTATGTGTATGGGGAGTCGTGGCGGACCCAATTCGATTCCCGCTCATGGTCAACACCGGTGATGATTGTCCGAATTGGTCCTGGGCTTCCCCTCGGTTGACTCAGCCTCAAATGAGTAACTGGTGCGACCTGTTAGCATCGCCACTCAGGAGACAAAGGCGGCTGGGCGTGGTGTTGGCCACCCACCCCCTCGTGTGCCGTGTCGGCCCTCATAGGTGCTCGCAAACAACACTTGCCACAAAAGTCTGGTAAGGCTATACGGGGGATCTTTGTTCATGCATACCTATTTGTATGTGGATCACGCAGAGCAAGCTCGCAATTCGCGTCGTTCTCACTTCTCTGCAGGTCAATTTCCCAACAACAACAAGAACAACGCAAATCTGGCAATTCCTCTGCGAACCTGTTGCGTGCCTCCTTTGCGTCGACTCAGCCTGAACTAACGGCTACGTGTGCGGCGTGTGTGTGGGACCAGGTGCGCGTGTCCCAGGAGGTGGAGGGGAGCCCGAGGTTGATTCGCGTGCTCGAGCCCGGTGATCATTTCGGAGAACTCGCCCTCATCCGGTACGCGCTCGTCCACCAGCGTTGACAACCTTGCGGCTCTGTCGCTAAAACGCCTCTCGGGCCCTTCGGGCTTTCCCCGAGGTTTCTCTTTGAGCGACAAGAAAAAACGCCTGGTGACTTTAGCTGCAGAGGGGTTTTTGTGCCACGGTGGCGAGACGTCATCTACCTCGACCTGGTATACAGGAGGTCGTGGGTTCGATCTCGACCCTGACGCCTGCTGTATATTTGGAGTTTGCATGTTCTGTCTCCCCTTGGATTCCCCTTGCGTGGATTTCTCTCCGGGTCCTCTGGGTTTTCCTTCCACATTTAGAAACGTGCATTTAGAGTATATGACTGCGAAACATTTATACGCGATACGCCGCTTAGTTGAGCCATCATTTGTCGTTTTTAAATATTTGTGGGAGTGATTCCCGGTATGTATTGAGGGTCCTGATTTAATTTACGATTTTCTTTTACTCATGCCACATTACGGGAAGGGGAGTTGAGTCAAGGATTGAATGTGGACGTCGGGGATGATGCGACTGCAAGGCGGAGATGAGGGAAGCGATGTCTGAACCATTTCTTACCTTGCTGATGTCGTCAAGGAGCATAAACCATCATGACGCGAACTCCGGTCATCCTCACAGCAGCGGCTTTTGGCTACTCGTTGAACAAAGATGATAACCGACGTGGAGTGCGGAGGCCATCATCCAGCAGTGGATAGACAATGGTCTAATGAATTGTTATTGTTCGTATACCTGCGACTTGGGCGTGGCTCTGGTCACACCCACTTCCTTCGTGTGCCGTTTGCCGCGCCTTCTTAGGCGCTCGCTAACAGCACTTGCCCCAACAGTCTGTTAAGGCTATACGGGGGATCTTTGTCTTTGGCAGGAATATACGACGCACAGCAACCTGCACGGCGGTGGGAGCGGTCACGTGCCTCACGCTGCACAGCGAGTATGGATCCCAGCACCTTGCAGCGCTCTCCAAACCCTCACCCCCTCCGAACAGTATCCATTAACGTGATCAATTTATACTCTCTGGTTCTTTCGGTAGTCACGTAGGTTTAAAATAAAATACCAAAAAATTGTTATTAAAAATAAATTAAATTAAATCACGACGTTTCGGAAGCAACACAAGCGTCCGTCATCAGGTGGGAACACCAAAGCAGCAACAAACTTGCTGTAGTTGGCAAAAGAGTTTCTTATGACAAGAGATTATATAAAATCAATTTACACGTAGCACGTGAGTACACAACATCAGCAGTCGCGTAGTGGCGACGTCATCATCCCAAGGGGAGTGCACTGATCGGTCAGGTGGGGCCCCAAATATTGGATTTGTCTTGCACGGTTGCACCGAGCGGCTATTGTATATTGCGGCTCCTCCAGCAGAATCGCCATCATTACACTCACGGTCTCGAATATTTAACGCTGTAGTAGGGGCGCTCCCTCCGTCTTCGCAAGATTTTTTTTTTCTGTTACACTCTTGTGGAAAACATATCTCAAGGGGGGGCAACTCATAGCTTTGGACACAAGAGGGGGCAAGGCACCCCCCACGCTCGTTACCGCTACTGCACAGCAGTTGCTCATCGGCGGCTCTCCTGGCTGGCAAACTCACAGGCCATGATGCTGGTTGTTGTAATGACCGGCGAAACGTCGTACTCAAATTGTAGACGTTGTGGGCTTACTCTCCGACACACTGGTGTGCCGAGCTAGTAACGAATTGTCACGTTTTGCTTACGTGACAAACCTTGCCAATCAGGCTGTGTCGGGTGGTGGCGAGGTTTCACGACACATTTCTATTTACGCGATCTAACCCACAAAACCTTTTAACATGGATAAGGTTGGTCGCGATAGCCCTACGACGTGTGAAAGAGACTGAACGCCCCCCTTTTGCAGGTCTTGTGCCACACAGAGACAGATCTGCTACTGGGGGCGCCCCTTTCGAATCGTGTTGAGATGAGATGCCAAGCGCTCTTGAGACGCCCCGGTGTAAAGCAGGGCGCTATACATTAAACACGAATCAGATCGTTGTGAAGTACTATTAATGTGTGCGTGTGCGGGAAAGCGGTAGTGTAGCGATGCGCTAAGAACCTGGCGACCCGAATTCGATTCCCGCTCACGGCCAACATCAGTGACGATTATCTGAACCGGTCCTGGATCTCCCCTAGGTCGACTCAGCCTCAAATGAGTACCTGGTGCGTGCATAAAAACATCGTCACTAGGGAGACAAAGGCGGCTGTACGTGGTGCTGGTCACCCACCCACTCGTGTGCCGTTCCGGATTTCATCGCTGTTCGCTAACAGCACTTGCCCCAACAGTCTTTAAAGGTTATACGAGGATCTTTGTATTTGTATGTATACGTAGCTGTGTGTATGCGCTCGCGTGTTTGTTTACAGAGTGTTCGCAGAGACAATCCCCTTGGAACAAATCGAACTCCCAACTGAGTAAGTGCCGTGGCATTAACACAATTCCTCCCACGTATATTCATATCCTCATGTACACACCACATGCATACACACACTATATAAACAATCCACACACTATCCATCAATCAGCTTTCTGGAAACATGTACAGCCTTCGCTGGATGGGGGGGGGGGGGTCTCCCCAACACTTGTGCGGGTCGTTTTCAGTTTCAGTTTCATTTATGAGGTATAACCCTGTGAGCCATGCGGCTATGCGGCTCTTGACTCGGGTGCAACCGCAACAAACATAAGCATGAACAAGAAACATCTTAAAGTGACTACACGCAACAGAAAAATCCAGGAAAAAACAGCAAGGGTTACTTGACCATACTTCACCGCACCGGCCAGTGCACGTGGTTCGGTGCTGGTGGAGAGCAACGTCCTTGGGCTATAGAAGGACAGATGAGCCACCACCACTGAGACCCTGAGTTCGAATCCAGGTTTCTGTCGCCCGTGATGAAACTGAGTTCTCAAGTGTAGCAAGTTGATGCTGTCAACCCGGTCACTAACGACTGCACAAACAAATCACATGCATTCGCTTTGTTAAATTGCATAATTAGGCTTAACTGCCATGATGTCGCGATCATTTTCTCAGCGGCGGGTAGTTCTTTGATATTTATCTAACAACACTGCACTGTGATGCACTGTCTTGCTGTGAGAGTTTAAGCCCACTTCACCACCCTGGCCTGCAACACTCCGGTAGTCCCAAGGCCTTCTCCCATCCATGTGCTACTAACCAGGATAAAAAGAAACCTGCTTAGCTTCCACAAGATTTGATGTGATCGGGCGCGCCAACGGGTTCTGTTGACAGACTCGGAGAGGTGACACGGAGTGTCTTGTTGTGCCCCTTAGGCTGGATTGCTTCACTCAGCCTGCGGTGGCGAACAGCGTGGCTACGTAGGTGACTACACCTTCGACGATTACACCCCCCCCCACACCATAATTAATGACAACAAAGTACGTAAGGATGTGATTTATTTATCCCTGGGTAAATAAAATAAAACTGAACCTTTTTTTATTTTGCCAGGTAAGGCCCACTGAGCTATATAGTTATTTTTCATAAGTGACCTGGCCACAAATGATAGCTCAACAAAGTGACTTATCGTGTGGAAATGTAAAGCACCCAAATACTCTAAACGCGTGTTTCTAAATGTGGAGGGGAAAAACGGGAGGGCACGGAGAAAAAGCCGCACGACCACAGAGAGAACCTGCAAACTCCAAATTTACGGGCATCGGGCTCGGAATGGAACCCACGACCTCCTGCATACCAGGCGAGGGAGTTAACATCTCGCCACCGTGGTGAGATTTTAACTTCCCGACTTGTGATGGCGATGCCATTGTACGAGTGGTGATGAGATTGTACGAGTCAGCTGTCTAGTGACGCACAGCTGTAATCCAGCACTGTGGAAGCGAGGGTTGATGGATCGCGACGATGTTGTGATACTCTCTTTCCCCGTGGGCATCTCGGAGGTACCCATACCCTGGCTCGCCAGGAGGAGGCGGTACAATGAATATGTGGACTTCCACCTGTTCCATCTGCACGTGATAGAGTGTTGCCCCCTCGCACGCGTGCGTCTCCTCTGGGCGCTCCAGTTTCCTCCCACGCGTGAAAAATACTCATTAAATGGCCAATGACACCTTCATATATGAAGGTCCGCAGTGCTCGGGCGACGACGGAGGTGCAACGGCACGAGCGGCATTGGCCTACCAGCGTCCTTGGCCACGGTCACCCCCCGACGACCTCTCGTCCCCCAGGGTCAGCAGGGAGCGGCTCGTGGCCAGCGACACGGAGGAGGAGGAGGCGGCCGCTGCCGTGTGCTGCCTCTCGCACCTGGAGCCCGTGCGCTACGCCGACACGGACGAGCCCGTGACCCTGGGGGTCGGCGCGTTCGGCCGCGTAGACATGGTGAGGCGAAAAAGCCATCGCAACAGAGTTGGTGACGCTCGACGCGTTCGTCACGAACAGCAGCGGAAACGTTTCTTTCATAATCGTTATTTATCCCGGAAGGATCTGATGTGCCGTGAAGCTGTCTTTCATGAATGTCCAGTCGTGTGGCCTTGATAAAGGGTAAAAGTGTTTAATAGGCGACGTTTCAGGAAATGGCCATTCACTAGAGCACATCAGCCAGAGAGGTAGAGGCCCATGGGCTATGAATAAGGGCCATTGTTCGAAATGTCTATACTTTTCGGTGTTATTGACGAATGTGTTGAGGGTTTAAAAAAATGTTTTTATTATTTGGTCTTATGGACCACTGCAAACGCAGCAGCAGCAGCAGCGGCATCACCAAATAATATTGAAATACATTTTTATTTAAATGGCAACACCGTATTAAACTGAAACTGTTCAACTAAAACTATACTATAAACTATTCTTATTTCATCAGGGAAGGCCCACTGAGTCGTATAGCTCTTTTTCAGAAGCAACATGGTCATAAATAATTGCTCAACGTAGTGGCATTTATCGCAGTCAGATAATCTAGACGCACGTTTCTAAATGTGGAGGAAAAAGCCGGAGGATCCGGAGAAAAATCCATGCAACCACGGGGAAAACATGCAAACTCCAAATATGCAGGCGTCAGGGTCAGGATTGAAACTATGACCACCTCCATACCAGGCGAGGTAGTTAACATCTCGCTACCGCGGCGCCCCTTGGCCCTGTTGGGTGGAGGAGGTCTATACGACACACACACCACTGGCATCTTACTGACACGCGGTCACGGCCGCTCCGGCATGGCGCAGGTTTGCTGCGGAAGCACCGTGTTCGCCCTCAAGAAGATCGGCAAGGCCAACGTCGTGCAGCTGCACCAGGAGGAGCACGTGCGCGCCGAGCGGCACATCCTCGCCGAGGCCCGGTCTCCCTTCATCGTCAGGTGCGTGGACTTCTTCCTCGTCCAGCGTCGTTGACGTCCAGCGTATAACGACGCAACGCCCGGTCCACAAATGCGAAGGGCACATTGCGGCGATACCACTCCGCTTGCTCCTGACGCGGTCGTCTGGCTTGACCGCCTGAATGTGAAATTGTAGTTGTCGCTGTGTGTCTACATCAGCGGTACGACAAGAAGAAGAACGTCATCATCATCTTCATCGTTATATTCGGAATCGTATTTATAACTGTTGTCATCAGATGAATTAAACGCGATCGTTAACGATATTAAAAGAGCCCCGGATGAGGTTTTTGAGATATGAATGCGGTGATATTTACATTACCTTTGTGCTGTTCGCCTTTTTGGAGTTCTCTGGTCTAACACTGGCAGTTGAGACAAGGCCAGAAAGGTGGATGTCTCTGGTGTAGGCCGATCAGCTCCAAGAACAATGCATACATTATCAAAGCATGTTTGTTTGCATTGTCCTTGTACTGTTCACATTTTGGCGTTCTCTGGCTTAACACTGGTGGGCCAAGACCACAAAGGAGGCTGTCTCTGGTGTAGGCAAATCAGTTCCAAGGACAATCCTTACATTATTATCAAAATATGTTTGTTTGCAAGCATGATGTGTGGCTTAGGCAGACCTGATGCAATACGTGTCTATTTAGTCATTGGACTTTGCCGGTTAGATTCAATCTCCCTGCGCTGCGGTGAAAACAATGGGGCAAGTTTCTCGAATCAGAAAACCACGAGGTTCAAATAATGCACAAAACTGTGTAAAATAATATTCAGCCTTTGCGTTATGAGGTTATTATATTATTCTTTTTTTATGAATTAAATCATGTTTACCATCTGTATTCTTATTAGCGCTATTACCGATACCCCAGTGAAGCCCTCATATATTGCTCGTATGAAGGAAGTAACACTATCGGAAACGCATCCACATATATACAATGGTACAACGACCCCTTTTAGCTCTGATTGGGTTAGCACTCAATGTCTCCAGGAACGCATCTTGAGCGCTAAGCGAGGTCTGCCTGTACATGGAAAACCCATTAGCAGTTCCTGAAGCAATGCATTGTGGTCCTCTTGGGTCACGATCATAAACAATTTGAGCAAATCCTCACCCCCTACTAATCCTCATCCCCTAAAAATCCTCATCATCCCATACAAATCCTCACCCCCTACAAAGCCTCACCACCAACAAATCCTCACCCCTACAAATCGTCACCCCTACACATCCTCACCCCCGACATTGTCCGCAGGCTCTACCGCGTGTTCAGGGACACCAAGTTCGTGTATTTTCTGCTGGAGATGTGCGAGGGAGGGGAGCTTTGGAGCAAGCTGCGTGATGCGTGAGTACACCAACATCATCATCATCCACATCATAATCACCATTGTAATCATCATCAGCAGCAGTAGCGACACTGTGTGAGCGTTTGTGTACATGCCCGCGCGTGTGTGTGTGGAGCGGGAGTGAAGCGGTCAGCGCGCTGCAATACGAACCTGGCGACCCCAGTTCGATTCCTGCTCACGGCCAACACCGGTGACGATTATCTGAACCGGTCCTGGGCCTCCCCTAGGTTGACTCAGCCTCAAATGAGTACCTGTTGCGGTGTGTAAACGCAACAAAATGCGGCCGTGCGTGGCTTGCTGATAACGCACGTGCCGGCTTGTTTTAGAGGAGCGCTCGCTACAACAGCACTTGCCCTGCACGTGGCTGGGGAACCTTTGCCTTTGCCTGTGCACAGGGGGAAGTTCGACGAGACGACGGCCGTGTTCTGCTGCGCGTGCGTGGTGGAGGCATTCGACTACCTGCACACGCGCGGCATCATCTACCGCGACCTCAAGCCCGAGAACCTCATGCTGGACCGATATGGATACATCAAGCTCGTAACAGCTCTCACACACACACACAAAGACCCCCCGTGTAGACTTAACAGACTGTTGGGGCAAGTGCTGTTAGCGAGCAGCTATGAAGGCCGGCACGGCACACGAGGGGGTGGGTGGCCAGCACCTTTGTCTCCCTAGTGGCGATGTTTACACACCGCACCAGGTACTCGTTTTGAGGCTGAGTCGACCTAGAGGGGGCCCAGGACCGGTTCAGATAATCGTTGTTGGTGTTGGTCGTGAGCAGGAATCGAGCTCGGGTCGCCGGGTTCGTAGCGCAGCACGCTAACCGCGACACTACCGCTCCCCACTACATACAAAGACAAAGATCCCTCGAATAGCCTTAACAGACCGTTGGGGCAAGTGCTGCTAGCGAGCACGGCACACGAGGCGGATGGGTGGCCAGCAACCACGCCCGGCCGCCTTCCTGGCAAATACGAACCCGGTGACCTTTGGAAGAACGTTAATCAACCAGGTAGGATGTTGACTGTTGTGTTAGCCGACTCTCTGGGTTGTATTGCATGATATTTCTAAGTTTGCTATGTTTGTTTTCTCATTCAGTCGTACCTGATGACGGTAACTTTACCGAAAGAACCAAAGAGTAATTCCTGCAGTCACGAAAGCTTCGAATCTTGGTGTTAAGATGTTCAAGCACAAAATAGTTACCTATCGCAAGGCATCAAGGCAGCATTAGCAACACACGTGCGACAAGAACATGCAAACAAACTCGATGCCTTGCAATAGTTATCTTAGGTTGGTGTTTGTGTATCTTAACGTCTGTTATATTGCCAGGAAGGGTCAATCCTTTTCTTATTTTATTCAAGCGCAATGATAGCAATAACTATGAAGGTAAGAATCCCTGTTCACGAATCAATCGCCTGATGTCAGCTGGTATCCGTGGACCCTCTGGGGACACCGTCCCGCCCAAAGAAAAGAAAAGGAGGCAGACTTTAAAAGGGAAACACGGGAACCCATTCCAGAATAACCACATCCATGATACAGGATTTCTTAGATCACGTAAATATCAATGCGTCACTAAACAACCACATTTTAAACAACCCCACCTGGCAACAGAGATCTTCGGGCCCCAGCGTGACCAGGACACACGCCTTGTGACAACCTCCACCGAGGGGTGCAACGATCTATTTCAACGGGATGGCTACGCAAGATACCACTGTGGGCACCCCCCCCTCCTTTCTCCTGACTCACTTTGACTGAAATAGCTACGGATGGTTTTTAACCCCATATATACAATATGTAGGCTATAACTATATATTTTAGTCGCACCGTGTATATTGGGTTTAGAGGAAGCCAGTCCCACGGTGACAGCATCAATACAACTGGTTTAAAGGTACAATACGCGCAATTAAGTGATCGTGCGTCTTGCTTTCAGGCGTGTGTCAGCAAAGAAGCCTGGTGGTCTTCAGTAACAAACACCAGCACTAGCGCTGCTATATTTTTACGCTCGATAGTAATGCATAAAATGAATGTGTCGCCCCTTCTCGCCCTCGTCCCGCCCTCCCCCCAGGGAGATTTTGGCTTTGCGAAGGAGCTGCAGCGGGGAGAGAAGACCTACTCGTTCTGCGGGACTCCCGAGTACCTGGCGCCCGAGGTTCTGCGCAACGAAGGTCACGACTTCGGTGTCGACTTGTGGGGGCTGGGAATCCTCGCCTACGAGCTGCTCACGGGATCGTGAGTGCGCGCTCGCGCAGAGATATAGACAAAGATCCCCACCCCCAAACGTCCCACCGCTCCGCCGCCACATGGCCTTTAACAGACTGTTGGGGCAAGTGCTGTTAGCGAATACTGAATGAAGGTCGGCACGGTACACGAAGGGGATTGGGTGGCTAACAACCACGCCCGGCCCGCCTTTGCCTTCCCGAGTGCTGATATTGTACACACAGAGCAGCAGGTGCTCATTTAAGGCTGAGTGGACATGGAGGAGAGGCCTAGGACCGATTCAGATATTCGCCACTGTTATTGGTCGTGGATGGGAATCGGCACTCAAGTTGGTATGGTTCTGAGCGCGGTGCCCTAACCACTGCGCCAAATCCAGGGTGCTTTTGAACATGCATTGCTGCAACGTTTACCCAAATTTTGATTTTTTAAGTAGAACATTTAAATATTAATTAACAACTTCGCGGTGCCATCATCATGAGTATCGGAAAAAATCATCATCATCCTCAGCCACAACATATTTCTTCAGCTGGAGCATCATCACGAAGAATAACAGCACATTGCTACGTGAAGATTCACACGCTCATCATCACCATCATTATCGCCGTCGTCGTGTTTGTTATTGGTCCGTATTGTCGTGTCTTCTTCACGTTGCCTGCCCCCCCCCCCCCCCCCTGCTCAGCCCCCCGTTCACGAGCATGGACCCCAACCGGATCTACAGCAAGATCCTGGAGGGCAACGTGATGTATCCCCTCTACGTGGGGGACAGCGCGCGCTCCTTCGTCCACAGGATGTGCAGGTGAGCAGCACCAATCAGCACCGGCAGCGCTAATCCAGCATGGCACACGCGGCCAGGAGACACAGCTACCGCACGCGGCCACTACGTTTGGTCGTCCCACACGGCTGCCGCACGTGGTTTACGGCGCACGGCCCAACTACACGCACCACACACGGCTACCCCACACGGCTACCCCACAAAGTAGTTTTTTCTTCTTCATTTATTTATAACCTGCTTTTTGTGTTTAGTTTGTTGTCCTTCCCCCGCGCCTACGATTAGCATGGTTGGCTACGTACGGTGCGAAAAAAGTTCAACATACATACATACAACTACCACGCATGGTTACCACCTGCAGCTACCACACGGTTACCATACACTGCTACTCCACACACAGCCAGTATACAGTGACTCCATACAGCTAATTTCACATACCACACACATAATTGTCACACACACCAACCACACAAACTTACCACACACACACACCTGTCATACACACTTACCACACTCACCCTTCATACACACTTATCACATACATACAGACACACCCATCATACACACTTACCACACAAACACACCTGTATGGCCTCCTACTGTGCAGACCCACCACAAACCCCGCTACGCACACTGCCCTGGTGTGCGGTGGTGTGCCTGCCTGCGTCACGTGGTGTGTGTTTGTTGTGTGCACACAACAGACCACGTCCTGGGCAGCGGCTGGGCAACGGCAAGAATGGGCTGGCGAGCGTGCGCAACCACAGGTTGATGCGCAGAGACACTCGCAGAGACACCGTCAGTTCCAAGCGTAGGGTTTTCCGGCCAACGCTACTTTCGGGCGAGCCATCGAACAAAGACGGTTGCCGCATCGCGCGCCTTCAGATGCGCTTCTGCAGCCGTCTGGAACGCTCCTCCGATATTAGGACGCCACTGGACTTGTGCACTTTTTAATTATCTCGATTGAACACTCATTGCTTTACAACTGCTTTTTGTGTTTAGTTTGGTGTCCTTCCCCCGCATCTTTCGATAAGCACGGTTGGCTATGTATGGTGCGAAAAAAGTTCTAAATACATACAGATTCGATTCACGGTCTACAAATATATTTTTACAGTATGATTTTAAATTTCAGCATATGACGATTATCTCTATATAGGTTTCCCATAATTGTTCTTGCATTTCACATTTTTATTGTTTTTTTTTGCGGTAATTTGCTGAACTCCCTGTCCGCACGAAAAAATGATCATTTCAAAAATTCCTCAAATGCACCTTCGCTCAACCCGATTAAACCACGAGTCTTCGAATCACTGCAACTTTAGAATCTGTCAATCTTATAACGCACGTGGTGCAAGTGACACGGGTTTCAAATTTCTACAATTAAAATGGTGACGTCTTATAATTGCCATGGCATCACCCAGTAAAATGGAACCGTTGACCCAACGTTGGGTCAACTACATTGCAACGTTGACTCAATTACTGGGCAATTACTGCAGAATCTATATATATTTAAAGGTATAAATGTGTAGGTGTGATAGGGACTGTGTATTAAGACAATAAACAGTGTGTGCCATAAAGAAGTTTACAAGTCCGTCCCTTTACAACACTACAAATGTGTAATGGATAGGGGCTATTTAGTTACAACTTGCAGAGTTATTTCATGAATCATTTATCAGCAAATAAAATAAAAACATAGAAGAAATCTGAAGTGAGCAATGGTCATTACGATGCAACAATATTTTGCAAAACGGACGACGCGATTATCGTGTATAGTATATTATGTGATTTATCGTTGTATCGCCATATCGCGGCAACCCTCGTTCAGACACGCGCACATTATGCAAACACACATGCACAGACAACGATCCCCCATGTAACCATTCACGAAATGTTGGGGCAAATGCTGTTAGCGAGCACCCGTGACGGCCGGCATGGCCAACGAGGGGGGTGTGTGGCCAACCACCACGCCCGGCCGTCTTTGTCTCCCACAGTGCTGATGTGTACACGCTGCACCAGGTACTCATTTGAGGCGGAGTCGACCTAAGAGAAGCCCGGGGACACGCTGATGTCACTCACCACTGAAGTTAGCCGTGGCCATGCGCACGTAGGTTTCGCTGCTGGCCCCGTCACAAAAATGACATCCTGATCTCGGCTCCCTCCCTGTCCTCCCCCCTTGTGCACTGCGTCTCAGTTGGTTCCGAAACATGGACTGGAGGAAGCTGCAGTCGTGTCAGATCGAGGCGCCCACCGCTCGACTCATCCGGAAGGTGAGCACCCAGCACCCCCAGGCAGGACCCCTGCCGAGAGCGAGGCTTAAGCCTCGGTGAGGATTTCGCGGCTAACGATAGTGGGCTGAGAGGAGGTGGTGCCATCGTTCTGATGCTGGTGATGGCGTCGATGATGATGAAGATATTATTGCTGTTGATGATTGCGCTGCTGCCGCTGTTACTGCTGCTGGTAAAATATAACGATGACTATGTTAATACTTCCGCTGCGGTTGCTGCTGACGACGATGATGACAACAATGATTGTGTACACGGTGAGGATGATATTGTTTAGAGTCCCTTTAACCTGCCACGTGGTTGATGAGAGTGCCTCTTTATATTTTCATGAATCGCGCCTACAAACTGCCCTGTGTTTTTGCACTGATCCCATGATGTATGTTGAACTTCTTTCGCACCGTACGTCACCCACCGTGCCAATCGCACCTCCATTAAGTGAAGGCTCCGCCCACTCATGCATATGCAAATGAGCATGAACCTCGTTAAACTGTACACACTAAAAAGATACATCCGCTTAAAACAACACCAACAGGAACACAAAGCATCTGCAGAGGCTCACAGTTAATTTTGGCTTGTGTTGTGTTTTAATGCAACAATAAGGCAAAGTAGATTTTTCTGTGTCAGCTCATTAGGTTCATAATGGGACCCAATGCTGAGCGTTGCCAGCATGGGGCCATTACGGGTTTGGTGATGTTCCACTGGACATTTGTTCTGCTGATCCAGAAGATTAATAAATATTACATCCGGTGGGCTGGATCGTTGGGACTCTGAAGTGACGAATATTTGAACCGGTCCTAGGCCTCCACTAGGTCGACTCAGTCTCAAAAGAGTACCTGGTGCGGTGTGTAAACATCGTCACTGGGGAGACAAAGGCGGCCGGGCGTGGTGCTGGCCACCCACCCCCTCTCTATTTTGTGTGAATGTGTGTTTGTTACATCGCCAACACGCATCTGCAGTTAAAAAACATTTTACACGTGCGTCGGCTTAGCTCAATGCGTGCCTTGGCATGGCTCAGATGTGCCAGTGGAGAATCGAAAAATTACAGCAGCACCTTACACATCACTGTTTATGCCTATTGAGTATGCGGATCGTGCATTTGTCAATTGTGGTTATTTTGAAGAACGTAACCCCCGCGCGATGGGCAAGGGTTTTCTGTATTGACGAGATGTTAACTACCTCGCCTGGTATACAGGTCGTGGATTTGATCCTGACCCTGACGCCTGCTGTATATTTGGAGTTTGCATGTTCTCCCTGTAGTTGCGTGGACTTTTCTCCAGGTCCTCCGGTTTCTCTCTCCACATTTAGAATCAACATCAGGTGTTTAGAGCATTTGGCTGCGAAACATTTCCACGTGATGAGCCACTTTGTTGAGCTATGATTTGTGGCCAGGTCGCTTCTGAAAAATAGCTTATATAACAGCTCAGTGGGCCTTACCTGCTAAAATAAAAAAATAGTTCATAGTTTAATTTAGTTTAATATCTGTGATCTCAGCACTGCCACTGTCAAGCGTTGATGTCGTTGCAGGGTTCCCCATACGTCAACTTTGACCGCCTGCCCCGCGACCCGCAGGAGCCACCCGACGAACTCTCCGGATGGGACATCGACCTGTGCACTTAAGACGATACACATCTCCACGCGTGCGTCCGTGCGTGTCTACCTGTGTACATGGCGCAGTGGTTAGCGCACCGTGATAAGAAAAAACGGCGACCCGAGTTCGATTCCCGCTCATGGCCAACATTGGTGAAGAATATCGGAACTGGTCCTGGGCCTCCCCTAAGTCGACTCAGCCTTAGATGAGTACCCGGCGTGTGTAAATAGCACCGCTGGAGAGACAAAGGCAGCTGGGCGTGGTGCTGGCCACCCACCCTGTGGTGTGCCGTTATCAATCTTAGCACTTGCTCTAACAGTCTGTTAGACACTCTACTGGGATCTGTCTTTTTACAAATGTGCAAGTGTATATGTGTATGATTGTATCTGTATGTCTCCTAGTATGCCTGTGTATATCGGGGAGACAAAGGTCAAAGGTTGCCGGGAGTAGTGCTGGCCACCCATGCCCTCGTGTGCCGTGCCGGCCTTCATAGGTGCTCGCTAGCAGCACTTGTCTCAGCAGTCTGTTAAGGCTATACGGAGGGGAAAGGGGCCTTTGTCTTTGTATGTATGCTTGCGTATATCTTAGTGTGTCCTCGGGAAACGGTGGTGCAGTGGTTCGTACACTGCACCACGGAACCGAGACACCTGAGTTAAGTTCCGAGCCATGATCACCATCAATGGCGAGTAGTAAACAACTGTTCTCGGCCTCCCCTAGGTCGACTCAGCCTTAATTGTATACTCGTTGTCTTACGTGTATATATCGGCACTGGGGGAGACAAAGGCGGATAGGCGTGGTGTTGTCCACATCGCCCCCTCGCGTCCACTGCCAGCCTAAACAGGTGCTCGTTGACTGACAGCACTTGTCTCAACAGTCTAGAAGCTGTACGAGGGATATTTTGTTCTTAGTCCGACAGAGAAAATGAGCGTTGACAAATATGGAACCGTTAGATTTTCGTTTGTGGAGAATATTAACGGAAGAGATCAGAAGACGATTGTTTCTTTCACACGTCTCTCTGCGTAGAACATACAATTTTGAAATAAAACTAAAATCTTTCTTTGTAAAATGCACGAGGCCCCAAGGCCTTCTGGGAGTGCGTCGTTTTTCGGTAGCGTTGATTCGGCACAAGCAAAACTCACTCCCCTGTGCAGAATTAGTGTTTTTATGGTTTAAATTGTGTACACAGGTGACGTACATAATGGTAGGTTTAGTATATTCATAGAATGTTGACGCGTTAACAATGTGAACGGTACAGTTATTGCACACAAGTTGGTCTTATTATGATTGAGAATGTGACACTTCAACACAGTGCTGCAAATAAATATGATTGATGGTATTAGAGTTTTCAAGATTAAAAAATATATCTTCACAAAGCATGTTTTTTGGAATCAGTTGCGGATGTGTGTGGAGTGTGTGTGAGGCATGCATGTGTGTGAAGAATGCGTGTGTGGTGTGTGTAGCATGCATGAGTGTGTGGAGTGTGTGGAGCATGCATGAGTGTGTGACGCATGCATGAGTGTGTGAACTTTCGCGTGTGTGAAGCTTGGCCACAGTCAACCTCCCCCCCCCTTTCTCTACGCTTGCGAAGCGTGTAGCCCCTTCAGAAGAACGTTTTGCACCGGTTTGAAACGTTTGGGCTGGTAGCGCTGGAGCAGTGGTTCTCAAAGTGCGGTCCTTGTACTACAACCGGTGGTGGTCCACAATGCTCCTCCAGGTGGTCCGCGAAGCTGCGATGTAAACGCAGGTTGAGCGGGACAATAATCGCCTTTTGTTTCAGACATGAATTCATATTTTACTTATATTTAATAATACAAAAACTAAGTTAGGTAAACTGCCCTGATTGAACCTCCCTAAACGCTGAGATCTAAATGCTTCCGCCTCTCGAAAAAAAAAACTTACAGCTGCGTTTAAAAAATATAAAGGATGTTCCGGGTTATATTAATACATTTGCATTCCTGGTATTTAGAGAAAGACGTGAATGCTTTTTATCACCAGGCATAGGGGGGCTGGGTGGTCCGCGGAAATGTTTGCATCGGCTGAGTGTTTCCTCGGGCCAAAAAAAGTCGCGAAACACCGGGCAAGAGGATGGTTGGCGAGTGTGGTTAGTAGTTTAGAGTACAGTATTTGGCTGCTATAAATTTCCGCATAAGCCACTTCGTTGGGCAATCATTTGGGATCGTTCTTTAGGAACGATTGTGTGTATTACAGATCCTGGTAAAATGTTCGTAAAAATAAATGTTTACCCATGGGACACCACGGGAAGGGGAGTAGAGGTCGAGGATTGAATGTGGACGTCGGGGATGATGAGAGGGCAGGGAGGACATGAGGGAAGCGATGTCGGAGCCAATTCTGGCCCAGTCCACTTCACTGATCTGCACGGACCAGCGTGGCAAAGTATGGTCAAACGAAACCTCATAACCAACGTGGCGTAGGGAGGCCATCATCCAGCAAAGAGCTATAAAGCTCAGTGGGCCTTACCTGGTATAATCAAAAAAGTTTAGAATAGTTTAGAGCAGTGGTTCCTAACCTGGGGTGCACTCGACCCCTTGGGGGTGCGAGATGCCCTTTCTGGGGGTGCGAGACATGGCCAGATGTTCTTAGAATGTAAATCATCGAAACACAAACCTACGTATTTAGTAACATAACCCATTTTTTTACAATTGAGAACCAAAGGGGTGTAAGGCTGCACTAAAGGTTATGAGCACCACTGGTTTCGAGGTAGCGCTAGTCTACGATTGGTGAGTGGCCTCTTCATTCTTGTTGCTCGCGGCGCCACCCGCAGCTCAAAGCAGCAACAGCAGCAGCGGCAGCATCATCACGTGTGGCCGGGTTCCCTGGCCGCCGTGGGCGCACGCAGCAGCGCCCCTGTCCGCAGGCGTCGTGGGTTTGGCGGCGCAGGGGGAGCAGCCGTAGGATCGGCAGGGATCTTGGGAATTCGCTGCTCGGGAAAGGACTCGAACCCGAACTGCGGAGGTGTGCAGACAATGGGGGAGACAAGAGAAGGGAGGGGATGTTAGGGAGTTACCATAAGAACAGCAGCATCCCGATGGCCCCAGATCGCATTCGGTCTCGGAAGCTAAGCAGGATTTTTTTAGGCCTGGTTATAGATAAGGATTTGCTTAGATGCCTCAGCAACTCAAAGCACCGTACGTCTGATATGAACAATTACAAAGCCCTGCTGCAGTCTAGTCTCGGGGACCCCCCTCCAGTGGCAGTTATCCCTGTGCAAAACGATGTTTACGCTTGTGTTCTTCACTAATTTTCAGGGGGGGGGGGGGGGGCACTTTTTGCCGATAAGACATCAGTATGAGGGCAGCCACACATTTGAAATGGTTGGGAGTTTGACCGCACGACGGGGTGTTTTGACATTTGCGTATTATCAGGGGCTGCACTAAAGGCCACCAGGGCCCGCCAGTGGTCCGCGTGCCTTGCAATGAACATTAGTTTACGCAGCACCGGCCTGTAAATGGGCACTAATCTGCTATCAGGAGGTGTTATTGGGTTTGGAATTTTGCAGACTTTGACCACGGTATTTGCAGGCAGGAGAATGCCCGTGAGGGGGGGGGGAGGGCAAAGACACTTGAATCTGGCCCTGCCTGGCCAGATTTGTGCAAACTGGAGCATACACGGGATCGCCAAAGGGGACGCCCACGCTCAACCTGGGGCTGCTTCTGGTTCTTCGCGCTTGACGATGCTGAACCGTGCCTATCCAGGAGGCCCGGCTAAGGGAGCGACGCCTGGAGCGACATTCGAAATGGCCCCATTGATGGCTTCACGACGAATAAAATATCACGTGGCTCATATGAAACGGGAGCGTGGTTTACACCCCCCCCCCCGCCTCCCATTCCCCTGCCCCCGCCATACGAGCATCGAGTCGCCGCGCTCGCCTCACCGGGGCCACATGCACCGCGTGCTGCCTGGCCGTGCACGCCGCTTTTTCCACGAAGTGGATCGTCTGCTCCACCCAGTTCACCTTGTCGTAGATGAAGAAGATCGGCTTCTCCTTGACCGCCTCGGGGGTTATGATCGGGTGTGGGTAGCTACTGCGAGGCAGGCAGAGGACGCCTTCGTCATCGGCATCAGCTGCGACATCTTCCCGCACCTCCGATTAAGCACGGATGGCTACGTACGGTGCGAAGGAAGTTCTACATGCATTTGCAGCATCTAAAATGTTGCCAAATTCGAACAAAAATTGCCCGGCAAATAATCGACTGTAATTCCACATTCAGTGACAATCGTCGCTCCAACCTGGGGGCAGACAAATGCCCCCATTTGGAGGCCAAGTGCCAAGTCGCCTTGTGCCACACAGGGACAGGCTGCCACTGGGGGGGAGGGTGCCTTTTCAATTGTGTTGAAAGAAATGTAAAGTGCTCTGAGACGCATAGGAGAGCGTTATACTGTGCAAACAACAAATCAAGATCGATATTATCATTATCACTGTCACCATCATCTTCAACATTATCATCACCATCTTCAATGACATTACGAACATCAATGCCATCATCGTTATTGTCTTCACTGAATCACAAATTGCATGATAACATGTGTAGTGGTGATAACTACTCGCTGTTCGCAAGCTGTGAGAGAGCAGTTGGTAAACAAGGTTTTCCCGCTCAATCAAACAGTTAGGGTCAAATGGGGTGAGGTAGGATCCAAATGCCAGATTGGGAAGGACCAATCGGAGGGGTCCAAGCGGTGGCCGGGGATTGGTTAACCCGGCCACGAACAGGTATAAAAGCCGGAGCTGCTGAAAGCTCTTGGTTAGTTCTGCTACACGAAGACCCAAGTCGGCTGAAGACAGCTAGGACCCTGGACCAAGCCTTCCAGCCCTTCTCAGGGCTGGGGCTCAGTGTAACCAGTGGTCAGGGGAGATAGGTCCTGGATAGGACTCTGGCTCCCAGCCTTCCCGCCCTTGTGAGGGCAAAGGTCTCGAGCGACCAGAGGTCGGGGACCCGCCGGGCCAGCGGCGGGTCAGTGTGCCTCCCTTAGGTCCCAGCCGGAGGACGCTAGGCTAGCGGGGGAGATAGCCGGCAAGTCCGGAGTCTGTGGCTCCTCAGGATAACCCCTTGTGTTAGGTGTAGTATTATTCATAATCAACGTTTTTGGGTTTAGATTGCGTTATTTATAAATGTGTCGTAACCCTCCACCACCCGACACAGCCAATCAGTAAAAAAGTGTCACGTTGACAAAAGACAAATAGTTCACTGCTTTAGCCCACCGGTGTGTTGAAGCGTGAAACCACAACATTTACAATTTGAGTACGACGTTTCGCTGGTAATTGCATCCAGCATCATCGGGCAATTCTGGCGAATTGCCCGATGATGCTGGATCAGTAAAAAAGTGTCACGTTTTGTCAACGTGACACTTTTTTACGGATTGGCCGTGTCGGGTGGTGGAGGGTTACGACACATTTATAAATAACGCGATCTAAACCCAAAAACGTTGATTATGAATAATATTGGTCGCGAAAACATACGTGTTAAACTGTAGTAAGTATTGGTGAATAAAAGCGTGTGGCCTCTAAGAAGCCTGCGTCTCCTTCAAGAACGTTACACATATGTGCATTCACACAACATGTAGTCACTGCATTACTGCTGTGATGCTGATACATTTTCTACTGCTGATAATAATAATGAAGCTGCTGCCATAATGGTAAGCCTGTTGCTGCAAGTGCTTGTAATGATTATTATGCATGCTGCTGATGACGATTATGCCACTGCTGAGGATTATAATTATGCCACTGTTTCTGCTGATAAAATGCTGCTCATGAGGAAAATGCCACTGCTGCTGTCACCGCCACTTCTGCCGCCTCTGACAATCAGGTTGCTCATGCTGCTGCCGATGATGCTGATGATGACGAAAGTGCTCACGGGGAGACGATGTATCCGAAGGCGGGCACCACCTCCGTCATGTCATAGATGCTGAGGCATCGCGACATGTTCACCTTGAGATAGTCGTAGATGAAGCCGAGGCATATCTCCTCCTGGGTGCTAACCCCCCCTGTAAAGAAAACGAACGGCGAAAGATCGGCCAATGTCCTTTATTTGGCCAGGAAATAACGTATTAGTTTGATACGCAGCGTCACGGTTCACAAAAAACTGCATCTCGCAATCTCGGTGAAACCACAGAATCGAGCTGGAAGCCAGCAGCTGGGTGGTGAGCCAGTGCTACCAAGGATTGCCCCAAGCTCTGCTGTCCCCTACATATTAAGATGTTTTCAACCAATTATTGAGCATTCATGGGCATGGGCGGAAACCTATGTGTGTGAGAGGGCAACGCTCTATCCCGTAGGGCAGGGACACGTGACATCCGGTCCACAATTTGCTGTACGCGAAGGTATGGCAC